CACCGTCCCCCCGAGAGAGGCAGCTGACCGCCGGGCAGAGCCCTGGGTGGGGGGCCCGCCTCCCGCCGCCTTGCTCAGCGCGGGGTCCCCGGGGGTGGCGGGGGCCGCAGCCGGGCCCGGGTGGGCCGGCGCAGGGCCTACTCCGCCCGCTGCCGCCTCGCTCGCTCAAGAGGTACATTCTTGATAAGAGTCTCGTTATGTCATGATCCCGTTTCTCCAGCCCACCAGCTTCTCAGGACTGTGAGTGCCCGTTCCCTCCCCCCTGCTGGCATGTTTTCAGACAGAACTAGGGATCTGAACCCACGGTTGGCCACATGGCTACCAGCCTTGCAGGACACTTGTGTTAACTCCCTACCACCATGACAGGGCTTATGTTTTCTTTTTTTTTTTTTCAAGAATTTTTAAATTTTATTTATCGTTATTTTAAAATTTGCTACAGGGCATGTGCGCACGAGAGAGAGAGAGAGAGAGAGAGAGAGAAAATAAGCTATCAGGTCTGGGGCTCAAACCGCAGTTGGCCGTGTGGGTGTCCAGTGCCCCGACCACTATGCCACTGTTGGCCCCTTTATGCTTATGGCCCCCTTATTCCCACATGGGAATGTTCTGGGGTTGAGTCTAGAGACCTTCCTGGTTATAGCAGGCACATGCATTTCCATGAACTGGGGATGGCTGCGACTGGTGGTGAATCGTGGTGTGGGAGACCCTGTGGGAATGCTGCACCTCTTTGTCTCTCTCGTCTTTTCTTGTTCTTGGAAGAAATAAAAAACAAACTTTAAAATCAACCTAATTGAAGAGGCATTTGAGATGAAATTCCTATATTCATTACGTGATCAGTGAAAGCACTTTCTTCCTAAATTAATATAGGGTGTAGGGGTTTGTGCAAATTTAGCAGAACCTTACATCATTATTCTCATTTAGTTTAAAAACTGTAACATCATGACTTATTCTATTCTTTTTTTTTTTGGAGAGGTTTTTTGCTATAGGGCACGTGCACTCGCCAGTATTCTTTTACTTTGGAAATCTCCTTAGAGACACTAATTGTACACCCGGGGCTGGCAGGTGGCATGGTGGTTAAGGTTGCTGGACTCCCACATGGCTGACTGCGGTTTGAGTCCCAGACCTGGTGGCTTTCTTGCTCTCTCTCTCTCTCCCTCTCTCTCTGTCCCTCTCTGGTCAAATAAAATAAGTACATAAATAAAGTTAAATAAAATAATTCTTAAGAAAAAAAGAAACACTAATTATACACCTGAATGTCCCAACTATATACAGAAAATAACTTGGTGTTTTAAATGTGTGGCTGTAGTACAGACTGTTAGTAAACTTAATCCAGAGAGTGATCTCTCCGAAGAACTGTTGATTGGTGGGATTTAAAATGATGACTCTAGGTGCTGTATTGCTGCTCTGTACTGTTAGCCATTACCCAACATTTTCCTGCCGTATTTCTTATATTAGTAGGCAAAAATGAAATGTTAGGAAAACAACATACAAAATGGTTATTCTTAAGTCCAAAAGGAGGTGAAGGAACTAGCTGATGAGGTGTAATATTTTTAGTTTGGTAGGGAAATACCCTGGAAAATCATGAGCCCAACTTTTTTCCTGACTTACTTTTCTTAGAACTAGAACAATAGTGGTTTGAATAGAAAAGTTAGGGCTCAGTGAGGACGTTAACAAGGACTCTGAGAAAGAAGTCAGGAGAGGGATAAATAGAGGCCATCCGGGAGCGTGACTGTCAAGACAGAGCCCCAGGAAGAGGTCTGCGTATGCCAACTGCCAAACGGGAGGAATGGCAGAGCAGGCAGGTATTAGGAGTAACCGTAACTGAGGAGATCAGCTGCAGTTATGTTTATCCAATCTGTTTAGAAAAAGTTAATTCGTCTTTATTAAATGGACGTGTATCAAATATGGCGTAGCAAGATCGTTTTACTAAGGATGCATTCAGCATGAGGCAGTTACCTGTTTTATCTTCAGATCAGGTTGGCCTTTTCTTAGTGCTAGTGACCTTGGTTACAGAATTACTAATTCTGTAATCCTTCCCATCATAATTGTATAATTAATATATTAAAGTGCCCATCTCTGTCTTAAGTCTGATTTCACCCAGTTAAAACTTGTATTAACTATGCTTACTACTTAGTTTTAATAAAAATATTTGGTTGGAGTTGTAAATACAGCCTTTGCCATATCTGTATCTACACTATTTGACTAATCAATGAGATTTTCCTACTTATGATTCATTGTACAACTTCCAAACAACAAAACTATCTCAAGGTAAATTTATCCTTTGTGTATTAGAAAAGTTTGGTTTTGGAGGCCAGCAGGTGGCATGGTGGTTAAGGCACTGAATTCCCACATGGCTGACCATGATTCGAGTCTTGGATCTGGCAGCTTAAAAGACATGCTGGCTTGGGACCAGCAGATGACATAATGGTTACATCACTGGACTCCCATGTAATCAACCAGTGACTTGAAACTCACACCGGTCATATGTGCGTGCGTGCTCAAAATCCTAGAAAGAGAATGGAGAAGGGATTGCTACATGGCACCCCCCTACTTTCCCTCTCACTCTCTCTCTCCTTACTGGTGAGTGCATGTAAAAGTCTTGAAAAACAAAAAAGAGCGGGAACCAGCAGTCAGCGTAATGGCCATGTCACCGGACTCCCACGTAGTTGACCGCGGTTCGTGTCCTGGACCCGGTGGCTTAAAACTCACACCGGGCGCGTGTGCGTGCATGCCCAAGATCCCAAGAGGAGAATGGAGGAAAAGGGATTGCGGCGTGACCATCCCCCCTGGGGGGTGATTTCTCGCTTTCTGTCTCTATGTCTCTCTCTGTCTGTCTGGCGAGCGCACGCGCCCTACAGTGAAAATCTCTCCAAAAAAACCCAAACAAACAAACAAACAAAAAAAAAACAAAAAAGAGCTTGGTTTTTAAAACATCTTTTTTTCTCCATCACAAATATTGTCTGTTTCTCCATGTTTCCCTCTCTGATAACCTCTTTCTGCTGGGATCTAGTAGCTTTTGTGTCTTAGTGAGACCTATATACCTAAGAATTTTTGCTTTCTTTGTGTGAATTTGTACTTTATCAGTGGCTAAAGCCTGAATTGTGTAGTTACCAACTATTTTCCCATGAGCTTTAGAAAAAGACGGCACCATTGTTTACATGTTGCTACCTAAATCATCAGGTTACAGAAGAGAAAGGCCTGTGTGCATCTGAAGCTGGTGTAATCACCTTTTGGTGAAATCTTCCTGTCGGTCATTTTATACCTGAGTTTGAGGTTATATGCTATCTTGTGGGACATTATTTAAAAAGCAAACACACCAAAGAAAACACATGACTTCAACCTGAATTTTTCATATTGATATTACCTTTTCTGGGACCATCCAAAGAGTTGTTTTTCTTTCTCTTTCTTTTCTACATTTGCTAGAGGGCATTTGTGCTCACCCGAGAGACAGAGAGGAAGTAAAGCAGCATCCCCCCACACGGAGGATGTTCATGCCACAATCCCTTCTCCATTTCTCCCTTAGGGATTTTGGGCATACAAGCACAAGTTCCCAACATGTTTTTCAAGCTGCCGGGTCTAGGACTCGAACCAGAAGTTGACCATGTGGGTTCCAGTACCTACTACCTACCATATGACTGGCTGCCCACCTGAAAAATGTTAGCTGTCAGAAGCACTGCATCTCTTCCGTAAGAATGACTGAGGCAGTCATGTAAGAATTAACTGTAACTGTAGTTTGTCTATCCTACTTACATCTGAATAAAAATGATTTAAGGTAGATAACGTGATTTTTTTATTAGTTTTTTGCTATAAGGTATGTATGCCCACTGGAGAGACAGAGAGATAAAAAGACAGAAAGCAAGAAATCACTCTCCTGGGGGATGGCCACGCCACAATCCCTTCTCTTCCATTCTTCTATTAGGATCTTGGGCACACATGCACACATGCCTGGTGTGGAGTTTTAAGTTGCTGGGTTTGGGACTGAAACCACAGATGACAACATGGGAGTCTAGCGATGTAACCATTATGCCATCTGCTGGTCCCGATAACATTATTTTAAAGGATGAATAGGTTTCGTTTTTACATAGCATTAGTTCTTTAAATACAGCATTTAGGGATGCATAGAGCAGAGACTCGTAAATATATTTAACAGCAGTTCTGAAATGTTTTGGGTTTAGGGCACTTTTATTTTCCCAAAAATTGAGGCCCCCAAAAGCTTATGTCTTTGCAGTATTTACTGTATTAACAATAGAACCTGAGAAATTTGAATATTCTAGGGAACCACCACCTTCCAATAATGAACTAAAGTGACGAACACAAAGGGAGAAAGAGGAGAGGCGCCCGATATATGTTCTCTAGGCCTTTTAGAAGACATGGAGTGGTTCCTTTGGCAATGTATATGCGAAGCTACAAGAAAGGTGATAGTGTAGACATCAAGGTGATTAACACATTTTAATGGAAAGCATCTTTTTCCAAAAGAAAATAATTACAAACACAGTGATATTGTGTATACATTTCTGCAAATTGTTAATGTTTAATGGAAGATAACTAGATTCTATATTCTGTAGCTGTTTCTGTATTCTGTCTGTTGTATTATCACATGTCATCTAGCTTCTGGAAAACTCTGTTGTAAGCTTGGGACAGAGTATAAAAAAGAGGGTAAAAAGGGTTGGCCTCAGCCTAGTGGTTAAGAGAGCTGGATCCTTCATGGCCTGCTGTAATCTGAAACCTAGCCTTGGCGGCTTGAAGAGTGTACTGGGAGTGTGTGCATGCCTGCCTGCAATCCTTTTTTCTTGAGAGGTTTTTGCTATAGGGCGCGTGCGCTCACCAGACAGACAGAGAGAGACAGAGAGACAGAAAACGAGAAATCACCCCCCAGGGGGGGATGGTCACGCCGCAATCCCTTCTCCTCCATTCTCCTCTCGGGATCTTGGGCACGCATGCACACGTGCTGGGCGTGTTTTAAGCCACCGGGTCCGGGACACGAACCGCGATTGACTACGTGGGAGTCCAGCGCCATAGCCATTATGCTAACTGCTGGTTCCCATGCCTGCAATCCTGACAGCACAGAGAACAGGGAAGGGATTGTGGTGTGACCACACCCCACGGGGGAGTGTTTTTTCCCTTCTCCCTCCCTCTCGTGGTGATCAGGCATGTCCTCTGGCAGTAAAGACAAAGAATTTTTTTTAAATAAATGATAGCATCATATTATAATAGTAATTTTTACCTTGTAGATCCCTGACACGACTAAGGGATCCCAGACTATACCTTTAAATCACTGCTTTATATGAAGAAGATTGTTTCAGTAATGATTATTGAACCCTCTCAAGGAAATGAAGGCTCAATCTATTTATCTTTATTTTTTTTCATGCTCTTCTTAGAACATCAAATATAGGTTATTAGTAACAAAACTGTAAATTAAGGAAAGACTTTAAGACAGATCATTTAAAACAGGATTTTCTTTTATGAAAGTAGTCTGTAAAGCATTTCTTCTCATAAACACTAGGCGTTGGACCAAGATGTGGTATGTACAGCTTTTCCCTGGAGGGACAGTCAGTGTGGTTGGCCTTACCAAAGTGACCTGCTGGCTGAAGATGCTTAGGTTAAAGATTTATACTGCTCCTTTTTAAAGACTTATTTCTTATATTTGACTGACTGTCTCATGATGTATTTTCTCTTACTAGGTTCGATGAAAGATCACCCACAGCAGCAACCAGGCATGTTGTCCCGTGTGACCGGGGGTATCTTCAGTGTTACAAAGGGAGCTGTTGGTGCCACCATTGGTGGTGTGGCTTGGATTGGAGGAAAGAGTCTGGAGGTGACCAAAACGGCTGTTACAACTGTGCCTTCCATGGGAATAGGGCTGGTGAAAGGGGGTGTATCTGCTGTCGCTGGAGGTGTTACAGCTGTTGGGTCTGCTGTTGTCAACAAAGTGCCCTTAACAGGAAAGAAGAAAGACAAATCTGACTAAAATATGGAGATACAGTTGCTCTCCACAGCATTATGATGCCAGTGGCATTGAATTGCTAAATATGGACTACAACCAAGTCACCTGTTTTGGACATTTATCTTCTAAACTGCTGTGTTGAAAGTATTGATGACTGGTTTTCGCCTAAGAGAAGAGACCAATACTAGCACAGTGTTTGAAGGTTTCACATGTTACTAAGTTCCAGCTTTTTATCTGGTTAAAATGTTACACTTACTCAGCTGTAACTGAAGATATGGTATGTTTGAATATTTACTCTCTTTCAGTTTGACTAAAAATGTGAAAGTTGAATTTAGATGATCTTTTAAAGTTCCTCATGTATAATGTGCCAGGTAACGCATTCACCCACCCCTTAAGAAGGGAACCTTGAACTACATAAACTGTACCTTTGATGTGCCTAATAGTTTCAGATGTCTTAGTTTTTTATAACTGTAGTTGATTAGGACAAGAGGCATGCGTTTCTTATGTAAGCTGGCAAAATTAGCAGGAATTAGAAGAGTTTAAAAGATAAGTGGTTTTATGATACTGAGTGTTAACCTCATCTTTTGTTAGATAGGCATTCTCTTCATTTAGTCATTGATGCCTTACAAAAGAAAGCATCTTTTTTAATATCCTAAATATGTGCAGTTCTTAGAATTTATGGATTCTTTTAAAGGTTCTTTGTGAAATTAGTTTTCCCTCTTAAGAATCTCAGGAGTAGTGGGGAAGGCATTTCTTGCTGTTAGGGGAGAAGATAGTGCCCGTTAACTGTCTTGTCAGTTGTGAGAATCTAATCATACTCCTCAAGTTGGGCTCATGCTCCATCGTTAATCACCTCACAGTGCCTAAAGGACATTTCTTTACTGGTCAGAAGCTATGTTGGACGAGTTTCATATTAAAAAGAAACACAAGGAAAAAATAATTTAAAATTCCTAAAAAGCGTCCAAGAAACAAGAAGAATCCTTCACACCTGTCCTGTCCCTCAGTTATCTTAAATTATTAGTAGTACCTGTTTTTTAAAAACACAATACAAGTAACCAAGTTATGTGAGGACTTTTAAATTAAATGGGCACCATAGATTAGTTTTGAACGTAAAATATTTGTAAGTGCTTTCCATGGTTTCTGTAGACTTTTAAAATGTGTTATCTTATAGTCCTTTAAAGCAGCTGTAGACTTTACCATTTTCAAGGAAATTTTGAGTAGGGAACTGCAGCTTTGATTATGGATGCTAAGTGTGTCGTGTCGTATTAAAACGTCCCATCATGTCTCGCTCGTTCGCAGAGCGTATGACTTAGCTGAAATGTTTTTTTGTGCTGTTATTATTGTTCATGTTCACTTTCATGAAAATTTAACAACTAAAGAAAAAAAAAATATATATATAGGTATTCCTCTTAACTATGAGTTACAGCCCAAACCTGAACAGTTTCTAATTTTCTTTATACTTAAGTCTAGAAGTTAGTATCATTCTGCTGACGTTTCTGCGGGGTGGGAAGGGGAGGAGAGGAGCTGACGCTTTCCAGTGAATAAACCCAGATAGCACCCTTGAGACCTGGAGAGAGGTCACTCGTAATGCCTGACATTTAAATGTCTGTAAACCACATGATTATTTTAATCATGTGGACCAGCAAATGAAAGGAATAGAAGTTTAATTTTAAAAAGCCTTCATAAATACCAGCAGAGATTCTAAGCAAATCTGCAAAGGTTCTTGAACCTTTTTCCTAAATACAAAACTGAAAAGTCAGTAGGAAGTTCAATTCATCAGGAATTAAGTGGTTATTTATTTCACACAGTATGATTTAAGTAGAATTCATTGGCATATCTGGCCAGATGTCATAATTAGCAAATGAGATTTTTAAAAAATGACAATAAATGAATACTAAATAAAGATCTAAATGATGGTTTGGAGAACTTGTTTCCTGCTATGTGGAAGAAGTGATGGCTTCACTGCTAGTTCATGTTTCTAATTTATCTTCTCTAGTCACAGGCTCTGCTCTCCTTTGTACCTGAGCTTCGAAGATAGACTTTAGTTTGCGTGCATATTTATTTTCAACTTTGTCTTTAAAATTGTTGAGGGAAAATTGTTGTAATTAATTTCTGATAGAGAAAAGCCACCTGGTACACTGTAGCTCATCACAATTGTTTTAAATTCTAAACGGCAGCTTTGTCCAGAGGGGCTTCTGCAGTGACAGCAGGGACTGTACCGGTGTGCAGCTCGCTACAGGTTCTTGTTGGAACGGACTTGCCATGGGTGAGGTGTACAGCTGTATAACTGAGTCTTCTCCAGTTTATTTACATAGACTAGCGATTCGACCTGTTTGACAGGACTAGTTCACTTCAAGAAACGAAGGTGGTTGTGTACACCTGGAGGCATCTGTTATTCAACTTAGTTTTTGAGTGGGTGTTTGGCACAATCAGGATGAACTTGTGCAGGCCACTTGAATGACTGATCTAATAGTGTTGACATTATGAATCCTGTACTTAGTGAAATGTCAGATGAAAATAACTGATGATTGAAACTTTTTTTTTTGTATCAAAGGGATGGGAGAACAACACATGAATCTGTTAATAAAGCACTATGATCTGCAAAAGATGAAATGTTTTCATAAAGATCTAAAGAAATAAAGGAAATTTTAAAACAGGGTAATCTTAAAATTGTTAGTTACATAGCAGTTCACCAAGTGCTGTGGCCAGTTTTCCGATTTTTTCACAGTAACGTATATATGTGACATCTCTGAATGCGCCTCTTGATGCCAGCACAGCAGTGAAATACAATATGGTTTTTTTAAAATTTAATTTCATTTATTATTGTTATTTTTTAATTTGACCAGAGAGAGATAGAGGGAAAGTGAGACAGCAAGCCTCTAGGTCCAGGACTTAAACTTGGTCATGTGGGATTCCAGCACCTTAACAACACCATGCCACCTACCGGTCCCAACAATGATATATTTTAAAAGAATTATTTTATTTAACATTTTTTCTTTTTTTTCCTCTTTCTCTCTCTCTTTCCTTTTAATTTGACCAGAGAGGGACAGCACGAGAGAGAGGGAGGGAGGGAAGGAGAAAGCAAACTACCACGTCCAGGATCTGAACCACAGTCAGCCATGTGGGAGTCCACCTGATACAACTATATTTTAAACAACTCTAATAAAAGATTAAAAATACATACTTAGGAGTTTTACATACCAACTTCCCAGATCTCTGCAGAGTGGGGCCCAGGACTGCATTTTAACAACCTGTGTGGGTTGTCCTTGGGTACACTAAAGTTTGCAAACTGATGGGGAAGTTATAAAGTGGGGAGCACTTGAAGTAGCTGTGGAACCAACATAGACTTCTCACTGTACGGAAGTGACTAAAATGGATGGGGATGCAGCTGCCTACCTGCCAGGGACTGTCCAAACGTTACCCTTACACTGGGTAATGTGGAAGTATCTGTGTTCCCTCTTCACAAACGGAGGACAGGCTGATGTTCGATGTTAATTGAATTTCTCATATAATTTCCCAATGCGTGTTAGGTACGACTTCTCCAGCCGTGTCCAGAGACAGAAGTGGGGCTCCTCGGTGACAAGCCCGTGGTTCTGGGACTGGTCCTGGATGTGGCCCTGTGCCTGACTTACTAGGTTGTCTAACTTGAATCTCACTGAAGTCTTCTAGGTGATCATGTTACCTTGGTGACTGTTTAACCTTGCTGCAGAAGTGAATTTAGTGTAATTCGACATTAGTTGCCTGAAGAAAATTTAATTTTGTTATCAGAGATTTTTTACAGAGGAAATTTGACACTGGTGCTCTATGGAAGGACATCGGTCCTTGTTCATTTGGATTTCTAAAATTTAATTTCATAGGGATATCTGAGTGAGAATGGAAAAAGGCAAAAGCAGAACTATTACAGAAGTTCAGGGATCAAAGACAGTGGAATAGGGCTGCAGATGGCATAGTGCTTAAGGGTGCTGGACTTATGGCTCACTGTGGTTCGAGTCCCGGACCTGGAAGCTTGCTTTCTCACTTTCCTTCTCTCTCACTCTGTCCCTCTCCAGTCAAATTAAATAAAGTTAAATAATTATTTAAAAAAATACAAGGAATTTGGACTATGGGGAAATCTGGTATATACTACGTAATTAACCACAAATGTGGATCTGTTTTCTTCTTTAATGTCATCTTTTATCTTTTTTTTTTTTTTTAATTTTTGGCCATTTGCCGTGTTTGCTTGCCGGGGAGGGCAAGTAGTTTACTGTAGGGTGGCATCTGTTCACTGGAGTGAAAGAGAGAAATCACCCCCAAGGGGATGGCCATGATACAATCCCTTCTCTTCCATTTTCCTGTCAGGATTTTGGGCAATCACGTGTACTTTTCAAGCCACCAGGTCTGGGACTCAGTGTACTTTTTGAGCCATCAGGTCAGGGACTTGAACCACAGAATCAGTCATATGGGATTCAGTGCCTTAACCACCATGCTGGCCCTAAATGTCATCTTTCTTTTTGAAAAGGAGTTACTTAATTTCATTATTTTTAAAATTTTGCTACAGGGCAAAATTAAACCGGGGAGGGGCTGGGGGCAGTGAGAAAACAAGCTCTCAGGTCTGGATTTCAACCATGCGGGAGACGGCCACGTGCTCAAGTCCAGCATCTTAACTACCACACCACCTGCTAGCCTGTAAGCGTCATCTTTTCAAGTTAGCGACGTGTTTCTATAACCGTGCCTGGACTTGAACACCTGTGTTTTGCTGCTGTAGTGACTGGTCTGTTTTTAAATGAACGGCCACAAAGTGCCATGTGGCTGCTTACCTCTGCTGAGCTTTCTCATTCACCCCCTTGTAGAATGCTCCCTGTCCCACCCGTTAGAATGACTCAGTAGCTCCTCTGTCCAGCCTTCCTCCAAACCTCCCCCTCCCATGCTACAGTCCTCCGTTAAAAGAGGCAGCGAGGGAGCAGCCCTGCCTTACACGGCTCGTTCTACCTGCCTTACGTGCTCCCTCTCTAGACCAGGGCCAACATCTCTGGCTTACCCAAAGTCAACCCACTTTCACTTCCTCAAGGATATTAATCCTAGAGCCTTTCTCTTATCTCATAGAAACATGTTCTTTAAACAAAAATTCATTCACCACCTCTGCTCTTCTGACTCTCTGAGCAGCCCCATTTCTGCCTTTTCCTCATCTCCCATTCTCATTCAACCCAATCCACTTGGTCTTCTCAGTCTCATTACATTAGAATCTTTTATTTTTTTTTAAAGATTTTTGCTTTAGGGCACGTAGGCTCACCAGTGAGGCAGAAAGTGAGAAATCACACCCCTTCCCAGGGAAGATAGCTACAACACGACCCCTTCTCCACTCTCCCAGGATCTTGGGCACACATGCATACGTGCCTGATGTGTTTCAAGCTACTGGGTCTGGTGCTTGAACCATGGTTGGCCATGTAGGAGTCCAGCACCTTAACCACTACGCCACCTGCTGGCCTCTACCAGAATCATTCTTGACAGGGCCAACCAGTGATTTCCACTTCTGAGCTATATATTGGAGGACCTCTCAGAGGCATCCAGTATTGCTGACCGTGTCCTCTTTTTCTCTGATCAACTTCTTCCTCTGACCGACCTTTTCTGGGTTTGGCTGGCCACCCTGCTCTGAATGTTCACTCTCGTCCAGGCCACTTCATCTAGAGCCAGGACCTTAAATACCACAGATAAGCACGTGATTCCCAAGTATGTGCCTAAGTCCTGATTCTCATCCCTCCAGATGCAGCCACTTGCCTGTTTGACATCTCTGTGTGGATGTCTAGTGGGCATCTCAAAACTGACATGCAACTGCCAAAGCCAGCATGTCATGTATAATATATATCAGAGACACTTGGGAGTGAGAGCACCACTGGTCGTTCGTTAGAAGCACACACTAAAACCTCTGTAAGGTCTCCTGTCACACAAGGAATGAGATCCTGGCCCTTAGATGGGCCTCTGCCCATCACTCAACCCTGCTGTTACCACACTGGCCGTTCTTGAAGTAACGTTCCTGTGTGGCTTTGGGTTACCCTTGGTCTCCTCATTTGTAGAACAGTAAAGAATGGTGCTTAAGGGCTGGTTCCTTGGCAAGGTGGTTATGGTAGTTGGATTGCATATGGGCAACCATGTGGTTCAAGTCCCAGGCCCAGCAGCTTGAGAAACACTCCAGGCATGTGCGTGTGTGTTTAAAATCAGAAATGGAGGAGGAACTGCAGTGCCACCATACCCTGGGGGTGCTTTCTCCTCTCCCTCGTTCTCAGATGAGTTCACACATCATCTAGCACCCCCCCCCCAAAAAAGTACTTAACTCCTAGGACTGCAAGGCACCTAGAAGCACTGTGTAGGAGGTCCACACAGACAGAGCTACCTCTTACTCTCTGAAGGTACTGAACAGATTTGGGTACTTGCATCTGCTGAAGAAGTAAAGATGGAAGACATTGTATTTTTCATAATACTTAAAAGGCCATACACAGTGCACAGATGTTCAGTATCGAGTCCATCACTGGAACCAGCAGATGGCGTAATGGTCAGGTCACTGGACTCCCACATGGTTGACCACAGTTCAAGTCCTAGACCTAGAGGCTTAAAACTCATGCCAAGCATGTGTGTGTGTGCCCAAAATCCCAAAAGAAGAATGGAGAAGGGACTGTGGCATGGCCATCCCCAGGGGTGATTTCTCGCTTAGTTTCTGTCTGTCTCTCTGGTGAACACAAGTGCCCTATAGCAAAAATCTCTTAAAAAAAACAAAGCCACTGTTTGGTTGCGTATTTTTCTAAAAGGAATTATTTACTTTTTATTTATAATTTTTTAAAAAAGAATTTGCTTTAGGACACATGCACTTACCAGAGAGGAAGAGAGAGGGAAAGTGAGAAAGCAAGTGTCCATGTTCAGGACTCAAACCACAGTCAGCCATGTGGGAGTCCAGCGCCTTAACCTCTTTGCCACCTGTTGGTCCCCCACGTACTTATTTATTATTATTATTATTACTATTTTTAGGTTTTTGCCATAGGGCACATGTACTTGCTGCAGAGGCAGAGGGAAAGTGAGGAATCATCCCCCAGGAGGGATGGCCAACCACAATCCCTTCTCTGTTCTCTAGGGGTTTTAGGCATGCACACACAGGGTGTGATTTCTCTGGGTCTGGGACTCAAACTGTAGTTGGCTGTGTGGGAGTCCAGTGCCTTAACCACCACGCCACCAGCTCGCCCTTAGTTGTCTATTGTTAGGAAGTTCAAACCTCACAGCTGAAAGTGAGCCAGTCTTTACCTGGGTGTTTATTCTGGAACAGTATTTAGGAAGGAGACAGTAAACACTACCATTATCCTTAGCATCAACCCTCACACATTTCTGTTATGCGGCTGACGTGGAATTTCAGAAAGTTTCTCAAAAGCTGCATTTATTTCGAATGTATACAAATTAGATCATTTCAAATTAAAAAATGGGACAGAGAAGTTTTTTATAAAAGTGTGCCCCAAATTGCTTAGTCATTCCTTTCGGTCTGTCAGAGAGGGGTGACTTCTCTTAGCTGACTCAGAAGTAATCCTTTTCTATGTACTAGATTTGAACAGAAACCAAATCTTGGTAAACCTGGGCTTTGCCACTTGGCAGCTGAGTGGCCCAGAGGCTTAAAGAAGCTTCGGTTTCCTCCTCTGTAAAATGAGGAAAGTAGAGTGCGTGTAAATGTTTCATGAGGTGTACTTGTCAGTTTCAAGTTAGCCACTCAAGTAGGCGCCACCCTTTTTTGGATGAATAATGCCTGGTTCTCAAAGACATTCATTTACTCTAAATTGGAGATAAAATTGGTTTTCTCATTTAAAAAAAAAAAAAAGTATAGCTCAAGTATCCTTTACCCAAGATGCTTGAGACCAAAAAGTCTTTAGGATTTCAGGTGTTTTTTGTTATTCTGAAGTATTTGCACACACTTAATGAGATACCTTGGGAACAGGAATCAAGTCTAAACATGAAATCCACTTATATATTCCATATATACCTTATAACATAGCTCAAAGGCAACTTCAGACACTTTTTTTTTTTTTTTTTTTGAGAGAGGTTTTCGCTACAGGGCGCGTGCGCTCGCCAGAGACAAAGAGACTGAAAGCGAGAAATCACCCCCCAGGGGGGATGGTCATGCCGCAATCCCTTCTCCTCCATTCTCTGCTCGGGATCTTGGGCACACATGCACAGGTGCCTGGCGTGAGTTTTAAGCCACCGGGTCCGGGACACGAACCACGGTCGACTACGTGGGAGTCCAGCGACATAGCCATTACGCTAACTGCTGGTTCCCTTTTTTTTTTAAATTTGTTAGAGGGCACATGTGCTTGCTGAGCAGTAGTGAGAAACCAGCCCTCCAGCCCCCATGGAGGACGGCCACACTGCAGTCCCTTCTCCATTTCTCCCACATCTTGAGATTTTTGGGCACGCATGCACGGGTGCTGGCATGTTACTCACGCTGCCAAGTGTGAGAAACATCAGGCAGTCAGTCATGTGGGATCCATTGACCCTAACCACTGCGCCTCCAGCTGACCCCTAAACCTTATTTGAAAACATTTTTGCCAGAGGACACATGGACTTACCAGAGAGAGAAAGCACCACCCTAATGGGATGTGGTCACACAATTCCTCACCAATCTGTTGGGATTTGGGGTATGCGCACACATGTACCTGGCATGTCTTTCAAGCCACAAGCGCCAAGATTCAGATGATGTGACCAGCCAGGTGGGATCCATCTCCCTTAACCACTAGGCTATCGGGCTGGCTCAATATACTATTTTTAATAGTATTCTTATTATTATTTTTTATTGCCAGAGGGTGCATGCACTCACCCGGGGGAGCAAGAGAAAGCCCTCCAATAGGGTTTGGTCACACCACAAAACCCCTTCCTTCATCCCTTTTCAGGATTTTGGGCATTCACGCACACACGTCCGATTGGTTTTTCAAGCTGCCAGGGCCAGGGCTTGAACTGTAGTGAGCCATATGGGACTTAGCGCCTTTTGCCACCATGTTACTGGGCCAGCCTTAATTGTGGTATTTCGACTGAGATCCATTTGGCAATGTAGCGCGCAATTGCCCATTTGTGGTATCGTGTCAGTGCTCAAAAAGTCTTGTATTTTAGAGCATTGTGGATCTGGAGATCAGAGATGCTCAACCTGTTTTAGAAGTTTGCTGAGGTTTCACTTAACACTAAGCTACAGAATTCAGACCACAGTAGAGTGATACTTCAGAGCTGACAGTGAGGAGCAGTGAGTGCATCCTAGATGAATGTGCTGTATCAATAAAAAACGTACCTATACTTTTAATTAAGAGAAGGTGCTGGGGCCCACAGGTGGTGTGGTGAAGGGCGCTGAACTCCCAAATGGCCTGCTGTGGTTCGAGTCCCAGACCTGGCGGCTTGCTCTCTCTCTCTCTCTGGTCAAATTAAAAATAAATAATTCTTAAAAAAAAAAAAAGGAGACTGTACTTGTCAGTTTCTTAAAATGTATTCACTTATAAAAGTAAGTCATGGGACCAGCAGTTAGCGTAATGGCTATGTTGCTGGACTCCCATGTAGTCGACCATGGTTTGAGTCCTGAACCGGGCGGCTTAAACTCACGCCGGGTGCGTGTGTGTGCCCAAGATCCCGAGAGGAGAATGGAGAAGGGATTGCGGTGTGGCCATCCCTCCCGGGGGGTGATTTCTTACTTTCTCTCTGTCTGTCTCTGTCTTTCTAGTGAGCGCACGTGCCCTATAACGTAAACCTCCCCCCCTTAAAAAAAAAGTACTTAAGATTACTGGTGCTGGGGCCAGCAGATGGTATAGTGGTTATGTTGCTGGACTCCCATATGGCTGACACAGTTCAAGTCTCAAACCTAGTGGCTTGAAACTCAGGCTGGAAGCATGTGTGTGTATGCCCAAGATCCCAGGAGAATGGAGAAGGCATTGTGGCATGGCCATCCCCGCTGGGAGGGTGTGGGGGGGCGTGATTTCTCACTTTCACTCTCACTGTTTCTCTCTCTCTGGCAAGTGCATGCACCTTAAGGCAAAACCTTCTGGCGGGGGGTAGGGGAGCGGGTGGCAGGGAGAGAGATTACTGGTGCCTATAAACTGCCCGGATTGCTAAAGTCTTTGCTGTCAGTTTCTGGCCTGTTAGAAAGAGACATCAGTCAGTCACTCTTCAACATTTAATGGTGCCACGGGGTTAAATAAAGGCCTTCCTGTTTTGGCCTGAATTTTACCAAACTTAGCCTCAAACTCCTTTTTGGTTCCATTTAGATTTGCTAGATGTCCATCTTTTATTCTGTAGCCTAAGGCATTCAGTTTCCTGACCCTGTACTGTACTATCTGTGGTGTTAATTCCAGGACCATTGGCGCTTCTCTTATCTGAGTTATGGAAATTCCTTCTTTCAATAGCCCCTGAATCCTTTCTTCTAAAACTGGAACAGAGTAAGCCAAAATGGCAGGGCATTTCAAAACCAACTGCTTCAAGTCATGGTCTGTGCACTTGAAAGCATTTTTAGAGAAGGAAATACTGTTCTGTACACTTCTTGGGCAAAGCTGGAAAAGAAATCCTTTGAGCTTAGACAGAAGTTGGAGGATTTCAAAGTTGGTGAAACCTTGCTCTTGGAGAAATTCTAGTGTTTCCTTTATAGCTGCAGGAGAATTTAACAGAATAAACGGATTCTGGCTTAATAATTTTAGGAGCCAAACTTTCATGTTGGCCTCAGAGCCGCCTACACTTAGATAACTCTCCTGGAGAGCCCTTACCATTTGCTTATTCTTCTCAACAGGGTTATGAAAAATATTAGACGCAGTTGTCAAAAATCTACTAAGGACCACATTCTTGAGTCCCAGCTCTTGAAAGAATTGAATGTTCAGCTTCCGGGTTTCTTGGTCTTTCACAGTAAAGAAAGATTCTGGGAACTGTTCTATTAACTTGATTAATTCTTGCTCGTTTTTGCAGACTAACTGCCAGAGTTTTCTCTGGGTGTTAACAGCAGTTGGACTACAGACAATTGCTTCTGGGCAGCGTTCCAAAATACTGGCCACAGCAGTCTCAGTAGCACCCAGTTCTTGTAAAATTTTAGCAATTTCTTCAACATAGGTTTTATCCTCCAAAAGTACCCATCCTTTTAATCTACGGATTTTTGTAATGTCAACGGAAAGTCTGTAGAGCTTGTCTACCGTTCTGGCATTTTCTCTGTTGCGCTGCCCACCATCGGTTGTGTAGGGGAAGTATGATAAAAAAGGTCTGCATGTCAGAGCTGGTTGCCTCTTTCTGAAAGAACACAGCCTGCAGGGCTGGGATCTCAGCAACCACTTCCATAACATGCCTGCAATCCACTGGCTGATTCCCACTATCTCGGGACTCAGAACGTACCCATGGTATCTGTGGGGAAGAAAAGAAAGGTTTTCACATAAGCGCTGTTGACTTTCGGACCACATACACTTACAAATTTGAGCTGTAAGTAGTAAGTATGGAAATAAAACAGATTTATTTATTTTTTATTAAAATTTTAAAAGGTTTTTGCCCTAGGGTGTGTGCATTTGCCAGGGAGAGAGAGACAGAAGGAAAGTGGGGATGATCATCTTCTTAATCCGTCTCCATTCTCCTCTCAGGATCCTGGACACGCACACACAGGTACCTGGCATGAGATTCAAACCAACAGGTCCGGAGCTCTAACTTGTGGTTGGCCATGTGGGAGTCTGGTGATGCAACTGCTATGCCATCTGCTGGTCGCAAAATGGATTTAAATTAGGAAAACTATTCATGTGGAATAGTAAAAATATCCTCTTCAGGGCCAGCAGGTGGCATAGCGGTTAAGGCAGCTGGATCCCACATGGCCAACTTTGTGGTTTGAATCCTGGACCTGGCAGCCTAAAAAATCACGTTGGGCCCATGTGTGTGCATGCCCCAAATCCCTAGAGAATGGAGGAGAAAAGATTGCGGCAAGGCCATTCCCCATGGGGGGTGATCTCTCACTTTCCCTCTCTCTCTCTCTCTCTCTCTGGCGAGCACACATGCCCTATAGTAAACTAAAACTAAATAAATATTTGGGAAAAAACACCCTCTTAGTACCCCCAATGTGCCCTTCACAACCAGGGTATCTTCTATCAATACTTTGTAAATACTCGGTCTTTATGAGCTTGGCAACAACCTGGCAACACGGTTACTTCCACTGGACAGATCAGCATCAATGCCACCAGGAGTTCCAAGTGGTCCAATTTGTGTCCACAGACATGAATTCCCTTTCCTACAATATGTTTCCTCCTTAGAGACACATTACTTATACATACAAGGTTGATATTTAGGTGAAGCAGATACTTAGGAAAGAGCTGGCGGGGAGCCATCCCTAATTTTTAATGTTTTTGAGTACTTCTGCTTAGTATCATCCAAAGTGGATCAGTTCATTTCTTTGATATGAGATGAGTTAATTAATGTGTGCTTGTTTGGTTAGAATATGTAAATGAAGCCTCTTTGATATACCCAGATTAAAACAAGTCTTAGCCAGGTCAAATGAGAAATGCCAGGCAACTGCCCCAGCAGAGCCCCAGGGGAATCAGGTCAGCTGTGGACCGGTGACCAGTGGTCTGAAACAGCCAGCCAGCTATCCCCACTGGGCATCTTTAGGTGTTGCAGGGTGGCTATGCTGTGTCCGATGCATTATTGTCTTTGCCACTATAGGGGTGACAACACCACACCTCTATCCTCTTAGGGTCCTGGCTGGGCACAAGAACTAATCTGACATAATTTGGAGGAACTAGATTAACAGGAGAAAAGTGTACACATTTTCTCAATACAAATTCTGGATGGCCTGGAAGCCTCAAAAGGAAATGCAGACCCAAAGCAGCAGTTACAGTCGGTTACTTGTACACTGATTTGGACAAAGACTAGTATGCTGTGAAAAAGCTATTACATTATTTGGGGAGGCTTCAAAGATAAGAGCTATTTTAACAAGGTCTGCACAGAATTCTCGTCTGTCCTTGAAGTGAAGGATGTTATTCCTTTAGGTGTAGACAGGTGTCTTTCATATCTGAATTCCATCTGCTTTTAAAAAACAGGAAAGAGAGCAGCATGGTCTTGCACCTGCTGTCCTCCAAAGGCCTTTAATTCAAAATACAGTTGGCCGTCCATATCTGTGGGTTCTGGAGATGTGGATCCTGGCTGTCTGGGGCTTCTGGAACCAATTCTCAGTGTGTACCAGGGAGGACTGTAGTCAACACGTCACAGTGCATTTTTAGCTCCTTCCCTTTGTTTCTGTTATTTTATAATGAAATCATGCCTAGTTTAAGTAACTTCCAGCACCTCGATGTTCTTGAGTGCCTCCACGCTACCACGAAGTGTGTGGGACTGGGCTGCTGACCTATTGAATAGCTGGCAGCCTCCCTCACTCTCTAGGTTTGAAAGGGAAGCTGGAAACACTTCCAATCCCTACCTTTCATAACACTCTGGCCACATACGCCGAGGACTCTCTCTTTGCAAGGCTGTCCAAGTAAATAATTCCTCTCTAATGAAAATAACTAAACACGTTCCCATTTTAGCTTGCCATTTGTGATGCCAACTCACGGTCAGTGCCTATGGAGACCTAAATATCTGTAGGCATAGCTTTTGTTGGATGGTTAGTGGTTCAACCAGGGTTTTTGTCAGACAGTTCCTCACTAGCCAAGATGAAAATATTTTTCTTTTTGAAATCTCTAAAAACAGGGACCAGCAGATGGTATAGTTACTGGCTTTCCATGTAGCCAACCACTATTTGGGTCCTGGACCCAGCACATGCCGAGCACATGTGTGTACATGCCTGATTCCTAGAAGAACAGAGCAGGGATCACTCTTGGGGGGTGATTTCTCATTAATCAAAATGCTCTTAACATTTTTTGATTTTGATTTCTTAAAACTAAAACTGCTTTCCTTGAAATTAAAAACTAAACCAAAAACATACCTACCTACTTAATGACCGCAGTAAGCTATATGGCCTCAGCTAGGTGCTACCTTATAGTATGTTCATTCTACTCTCTGGGTTTATGCCTAAGTCAGACGTGTGTGCACAGAGATGTTTATACCAGGTGCACTTGCTACTGAAAGTATTTAGATGAAGATCTTTCGTGAATCAATAAAATGTGGGGGGGGAGGAAAAAATAAAGGAAATAATTGGTGCTACCTTATAGTATGTTCATTCTACTCTCTGGGTTTATGCCTAAGTCAGACGTGTGTGCACAGAGATGTTTATACCAGGTGCACTTGCTACTGAAAGTATTTAGATGAAGATCTTTCGTGAATCAATAAAATGTGGGGGGGGAGGAAAAAATAAAGGAAATAATTTGGAGCTATGTGGGGGGGGAGGAAAAAATAAAGGAAATAAATAAATGGAGCTATTTCCATAAAAAAAGTGGTAACAACAAATTTCTAAGAACAGTCAACAATCGATCATCGCAGGAAGGAGGAGAGGCAGCGTAAGGGGGATGCAGGGGCGGATCTGGGCTGGGGCCCCACTCCCCACTCACTGTGTGACCCCATAAACACAGGCCTCCGTCTGCTCCCGAGGCTGCAGCCAAACTGCCCACGCCCAGTCCTGGCCCTAATTTACGGGGTAATCCGGGTAAGTCAGCTACCTCGGCCCCACGAGGGGCAGTGCCGAGGACAGTAAAGGAGCGTCAGTAGCGCCGCCCTCTGGGGAGTGGGAGAGCGGCACCCGACCTTACAGCCGCCGAGAGGGCTAACACGCGTGTCAAGTACTCCGCAGTGCCGATGACGGTATCCGCTACCGGGAAACTTCTAGAGCTAAAAGTCTTGTAGTGATAGGACTTTATGTTTTAGAAGTATGCTATTTACAAAGAATAACTGAAAATGGTTATTTTAAACATTCCAGTTTCCCAATAAGAGCTTATAATGTAGAAGCAATACAGTGCAGAGAAGCTGCCCAGTTTTGCCAAGGACAAGGACGTAGAGAAAGTCACAATCCCACCATCTCAAAGTCTTCATACATCGACATGTATGTCTACTGTATTTGTTTCTCACTCCTGTTATTATAATTCTTTAAATACATAGAGTGAGGCTGTCTTGCACATGGGAGTTAGGTTGTTGATTCAGCCTGTAAAATGAAAACTGCAAAGACTCAGAATTTTCCTTGAAAAAGTCTCAAGGAGGGTCCACGCTGGATACCATCTCTCTCTCCCCCAGAAAGTCCAATACAGTACGGGGTCCTCCAGGGTTGGAAGCAAACACCGTCTGGCTAAACACTGGGTACAGAGTTGGCCTGGTCTGTTACAATATACAGAATTACAGATCACTAACCAGGGGAACCGCACCGACCATGGCAGGGTGCTTTCATTGACTGGACTCGTGCCCAACGAGGCTACAGAGAGAGCAAGCTGTGTCCTATTTGCTCCGCACTCCAAGGTGAACAGTGACGTGCTCAGGTAAGCTGTCGGACAGTTAACACTGTCTTGCTCTCTCTGATGAGCAACACGGGCAACCAGCCAAGTGAAACGTCACAAATGGAACTTCCCTGCAGTGAATGGACATTATATGCACAATTTACTTTCTGCTGTTTTAATTCTATCCTCCAAGAATCTGACTGGCATTAAAAACATTCTGTGAACACTTAAATGCATGCTGTATGTGATGGATACACTATAATTTTGTAATTCATTCTGAATACTGCGCATTCCGGCCATGTGTAATTATGCGTGATAGGCCGTCTCTCCACGTTTCATGTGCTTTATCCTTTAGGATGAATTTCTAAAAGTAGAATTCCTGAAGGAGAGATGTGTGAACATTTGATTAGCTAAGTTGCTAAATTTCCTGTCAAGAAAAACGATCTCAGTTGACCTTCTCACAAGCACTATAAGTGATTTTCTCATTGGCTTTAATTTTGATATATGAAAAACGATATGACACTAATTCAATTTCATTTGCTTTTATTGTTAGCTCGAACTTTTCTTATAAATTATCCTGGCCATCTTTATTTTATTTTATTTTATTTTTTTTTTGCTACAGGGCACATGCTCACTGGAGAGAGGCAGAGAAGAGAAAGAAGTGAAAAATTACTCCCCAGGGGGATGACCAGTCCCTTCTCCTCCATTCTGCTCTCATGATTTTTGGCACATGTGCACAGGCTCCTGGCGTGCTTTTCACACCACTAGGTCCAGGACATGAACTGCACGTTTGGCCGTGTGTGGTCCACATGCCACCTGGTTGGCCCACCTTTTGCCTTTTTAAGCTGCAGTTTTTCTGCTTTTTAAAAATGGTCCTCTGTAAATCCTTTACGTATTAAGAAAAACGGTTACTTTATTATGGATGGTTTATTTTGCAAATTGGAGTAAGATATAAGTAACAGAAATGTTACCATTTTAGCACTATTCAAGTGCACGGTTCAGTGGCAGCAAGTACGTTCACAATGTTGGACAACCATTACTAACTACGGTTTCCAGAAATGGTCCCCGCAACATAAACTCTGTACCCACTAAACAACTCTCCAACCCACTCCCTTCCCTGCCCATAAACTCTATTCTGCATTGTCACTGAGTCTGTCTACTGTACGTACTTCATGTAGTGGAATCAGGCATCTGTCCTTCTGTCTCTGGGGCTTATTTCACTTCACGTAATGCTTTTTTTTGGAGAGGTGTTTTGTTTGAGAGTTATTTTTTTTTTCTTTTTTGCTATAGGGTGTGTGCACTCACCAGAGAGAGAGAGAGACAGAAAGCGAGAAATCACCCCCCGGGGGGATGGCCATGCCGCAATCCCTTCTCCTCCATTCTCCTATTGGGATCTTGGGCATGCACGCACGTGTGCCCGACATGAGTTTTAAGCCTCCGGGTCCGGGACGCGAACCGAGGTCGACTACATGGGAGTCCAGAGACATAGCCATTACGCTAACTGCTGGTACTTTCACATAATGTTTTCAAAGTTCATCTGTATGTAGCATGTGCCAGACAAAGCAATTAATTTTAAGTTGTCAATGGAAGATCAGGGAAGGGTCCCTTTCTTTAATGATGCCTACTGTTTTTAAGCACCAAATTCATCCACATTTTCTTGTGTATATTTGTTTACATTTTAAAAGTTAGTTCCTTGGGACCATCAGATAACATAATAAATGGTTATATCACAGGATTCCCACATAGCTGATTGTGGTTTGAGTCCCGGAACTGGGAGCTTAAAACTCATGCTGGGCGCGTGCACATGTGTGCCCAAAATGCAGAGAAGAAAACAAAGGACTAGGGACTGTGGCATGGCCATCTCCCATGGGATGATTTCTCACTTTCTATCTTTGGCTCTTTGGCGTGCACATGTGCCCTTATAGCAAAAATATCTCTTAAAAAATAAATTAGCTACGTTAATTCATTTGAAGTTTTTGGGTATGAGTGAGGATCTACATAGATTTGATCAGTATCTCTAAGCACCATTTTTGGAATAATCCTTTTCTTTCTCATGAGCTGTGATACACCTCCTTTATCACACATTAAATGTAGCTTTTGTCTCTAGCTAGCTTCCATTCTCATCTTCCTATTTTGAAATTCCCTGAATGGGTGAGGTTGTCCATTGTGGGCCTCTGCTACATACCTGGCTCTCTCTGCCAGTCCATCCTCAGAAGATCTCTGGTATACTCATTCTTCTAGACCTCTGGGTGTAGTTCATTAAGCCACTTGGCACTGGGTGGATTAATTCATCTTTGAAGCAGAGACAGCATAATATTCTCAACCTCAAGTGTACACTTTCCCAGCCTAATCCCACCCAGGAAACCCTTCCTCCTCGGAAGAAGTTGGCCTGAAATAGAGACAGGGAGAAGGAAGAAAATGGGTACTGTGAGAGACAAAGGAAACTAGAGTGCATGGGTGCTTCAACTGCTCAGATCTCAACTCAGACCTCCAGCTTTCCCTGCACCCTGAATCCCTCCTACACTCCCAGTGCCCTTGCCTCTTATCTGTCCAGAGAAGGGGGGGGTTCCTCAAAATAAACAAACCCACTGCCCTTTCCCCTTCCCTACAACAGCAGCACCTTTGGCCATCCTGGGTAATCAGTCTCCGCCCCCGTGCTGAGCTCAGGGTCTCGGCTTGAGGCTGGAGGCCTCTAGAGGCTCTTCCTCACACACCCAATCCCTCAGCTGTACCCGCCTCTGATGCTTTGCCCTTCATCTCCGTGGCTCTTCTGCTCACTGGCCCTCCAGTTAAAACCCAACCTTTTCTTTCTGCTCAGCTCATTCTTGAAAATCTTTTTCTTTCTTTCTTTTCTTTCTTTCTTTCTTTCTTTCTTTCTTTCTTTCTTTCTTTCTTTCTTTCTTTCTTTCTTTCTTTCTTTCTTTCTTTCTTTCTTTTCTTTCTTTTCTTTCTTTTCTTTCTTTTCTTTTCTTTTCTTTTCTTTTCTTTTCTTTTCTTTTCTTTTCTTTTCTATTTTTTTTTTTTAATTTCTGCTACAGGGTGCATTTGCTAGCCAGAGAGACAGAGAGACAGAAAGTGAGAAATCACCCCCTGGGGGGATGACCATGCCATAATTCCTTCTCCTTCCTTCTCCTCATGGGATCCTGGGCACACATGCCTGCTGTGAATTTAAGTCACCGGGTATGGGACTTGAACTACAGTTGACTACGTGGGGAGTCCAGCAACATAGCCATTATGCCATCTGCTGGTATGCCATCCCTGAAGGTATTTCTTTCTCTCCATTCCCTCTACTTGCACAGGAAAGGCAATTCCATGTGTTTAGAGCCAATGAGTAGCTTCAGATTCTTTCTGTTGTAGTCTTTGCAGCTGTCAACACAGCTGACCACTTTCTCCTTGAAGTATTCTCTCATTTGACTTCCAGGATACTTCTCTCTCCCAGTTCTCCTCCTTCCTTTCTACACTTCTGGTCACCCTTTATCTGTCTCCTCTCTCAAGGCTTGATTCTAGACTCCTTCCTCTTACCTTACAGTCTCTTCCTAGAGTCCTTATCCTCCTCACGGCTTCCGTTAATCCATCTGGGCTTCTCTCCAGCTTCTTCCCAAAATGTGATCTTGTCACCCCTCTGCATTCAGCTTTACAATGGCACATCAGAAAAAAGACATACAGTAAAACACAGAAATGGCTTCCGAGGCCTCTGGGCTCTGCCACCAACGAATCCTCTTCTTTCGCTCCCCACTAGCCACACTGCTTCTGTTTGGTCCCTGGTGCTCCGTGCTTTCCCATCGCATGCTTTTTGAAGACTATGGGCTCTTCTCCATGCCCAGGATGCTCAGGCATCACTTCCTGATGGAGCCTTGTCTGACCGCCTGTATGTGCTGCTGGCTCTCACAGCACCATGGAGAGCTACCCTGCACCACCTGACAGAGCGGGGGCTGCCCAACCTTCCCCGTGGGCAGAAACCTCACCACTGTGTTGCCATCAATCACTGCCCTGTCCTTCACCTGGCTGGCATCACTGGCTCTAGGAGGTACACCTGGGCAGGTGACCTGTCTGTCCTGCACAGCACCCTGCACTTGACCCTACTGGGGCGCTCCAACAGGAAGGTGTTTGTTGCCATTTAAAGCTCACGCTGTGTGTCAGGCGTGACTGCTGCACTCTAGCTCTGTTAAAACACTCCATCCCTTCCCTTGGCTCATATGGTTTCTGAGAGCCTGAGAGCCATAACCTCTGTTTCTGGAATTTGCAAATGATTTTAGCAGTGCTCCTGGACACCGTGCAGCCCAGCCAGGAACACCTTGAACTAGATGTGTAAGTGTGGGCAGGGCAGGGACTAAATCCTGTTTTGCGTTATTCTCTATAAGCAGCAGGAAAATTGGTCCACATAAGCACAATATCATTGGTGAAACTTAATGAATTTCATGAAGCGACTTAAGGTGGTGGGTAAAACTGTAGGCTGTTAAAGTCAAGCTGCCTGGGTTTAGTTCCTGGTCAGTAGTTGTCATGTGACTTGAGAAAGCTACTTCACTTCTGTCTCCGTTTGGAAATCAGGAAAATGGGGACACTACCTTGTGGGTGACTCTGAAGAGTAAATGAGTTAATGCCATAAATCACTCAGAGTGATTGCTCCAGGGAAGCAGGAAGGTTCTAGAGACCGTCCTCTTCCTTAGACCCTCGTTTACCCTATCTTCTGGATAACTGTGAAGATGAAATGAGTTAATACCATAAACCACTCGGAATACTCAGAAAGCTCTTCATATATCCCAACTCATTGTATCACAGGACACTCAAAGATGAGGAAACAGATGCCAGCCAAACAACCTGCCCAAGACTGCTTAGCTAATAAAGGGTCGATCTCGGATTCAAACCCACCAGCTTCTCCCCAGGGGCTGCTCTTACCTCTGTGCCCTCAGTAACACTGTTGGTACACGTTTGCTAAATCACGATGTAGACTACTTTCTGATGCTTCAGCATTTTTGAGCAGTGAAAGATATTTCTGCACTGTGCACAATTTTTATATTTAATATGGTCCCCTCTGCAACACCAGTAATTTCAGTTGTCCCACTTTGGTCATTTCTGTTGACAGTTTCAAATCAATCCCCATGATACAGGCGAGGAAACACGGGGGTCTAAGGAAGAGAGTCTCCAGGACCAAACGAAGGCTACACCTTCGCATGCGTGGCCTCTGCTTTCCGGGGCAATTTTCTACCCTCTGCGCCTGGTGGTGTTGGCTCAGCCCAGGAAGGCGGAGCTGAGCGTCTGGCGGAACGTCCAGATTCTCCGTGGCCGTCTCCGTCCTCCACCAGGTGTGAGGGTCATTGCCCAAGGGCGGAGGAAAGGGGAGACTCACCTGTACACATCCGCTCCAGGCAAGGTTCAGGCAGTCCCGGGACCTTACCTCATTCTTCCTCCCTTTCGGTCTTCCCGAGTCCTGGATCCAGGGCCCAAGCGACCAGGCCACCTTCCTTTTAGCCCACAGCCAATCAGAGCTCGGGAGGCCAGGGAGCGCGCAGACCGCCCCCACCCCCGGGCCAGCGCACCCAATCAGAGCGCGGAACACAGGCTACGTGACCCGCCCCCGCGTGGGCGGAGCTTTCCAGGGGAGTTCGCCCAGTGCCGGCAAACGCTGCGTCTGACGTTCCCACAGCCTTCCTTCCAGCATTTTGGAAACCTACAGTACCAGTCGCTTTGCCCTTTAGCGAATGTCACTAGCCCATAATGAAGAGTAGAAGTAACTCTGAAACAGCTGTATTCCTTAGAACCATTAAGAATACCCCAAATAATTTAAATAATCAACTTTAAAAAATTTGAAAAATCCTGACACTTCTTTGAAACACATTTAAAACCCTCACCCTCACGCTACTCCAGCAGTTGGCGACCCCGCGTGGGATTTGTTTTTAAAAGCCATCTTTTATTTTTTTCCTCTTCCCAGCCTTTACCTAAATGCTTACCTTTTCCTGGTAAGCTGCCAGGTGCTTTACATTCCAGTTGTCACTTGTGATGGCCAACCTCATAACAATTTCTCCTGAAGACCAGGCTCAAAGTCTCATTTATTTTTATATGGGCCCATCCAATCAACAAATACTTATGCAAATTAATTGACAAGCATGCGGAACAGCAATGAGAAGAGCAATGGCCTGGATAGCCAGGAATAAAATGCATTCCATCTCCATCCTCCTGGAGCTTACGTTCTGGTGAAGGGCGAAGGCATTTAACAACCATAACAAGACTAGTCTCTAGGGAGGTTGCCAAGGATGGGCTACTGTCACCCTGGCCTACCTGTTCTGTTTGTGTGGAGTTACAGCTGTAGTTTTCCCAGGCTGGTCACTCCTTCATTTACTTCCAGCTCACCGCGTAGTTCGAACAGAGCCTCCTACACAGCACTTCCGTGCTTCCTCATAGCCCTCTCACCTTGTGGACTCTGTGGATACTGATAACTTTATTTTCTTGTGCACAAAACTTGACACACGAGGTATTTAGGAAATAAAATTGCCCAGTCTAGCTCTGGTGTGCAGTTTGTGTTTAAAAGGCTTTACTGAGAGGGACTGGCACTTGCACTTCAAATTCACAGAATAACTGCAAGAATCCCTCCTGCCCAGCGATGGCAGCATGCTACCTAAGTTAAGTGTAAATCCCTTCTCTATTTGTTACCTTAACTCCCTCTTACCAATGTACGGGATACACTTCAGTCTGACCTCAAATAATGTTGAAATCAGCCCTGGTATCTCGAAACTTACCATTTTCCTTTTCCATAGATTCATTCAAAAACTTCATTCCCTTAATTTTTCCAAGTTGTCAGCACAACTTTGATAAGTGAATAAAAGGCCCTTAAATCCCTTATCCACTGGAAGGATTTCTAGAACACCATCCCTTCTGGTGACAGAGTACTATATTCAAACATAGTGCATCTGCTCAATCAGAACACAGATTAATCAATACCTCTTTTTTGTTATGTTTGTGTGTGTGAGTGTGTGTGAGTGTGTGTGTGTGTGTGTGTGTGTGTGTGTGACAGTTTTGCCGTGTGGTGATTCTTCTGCCTCAGCCTCTTGAGTGGTGGCCTCACCATACGTGGCTTTTACAGTGGGCCTGGGAACAAATCTGAGCCTCCCAAACAGCAGCATCCAGCACACCCTACCCATGTGGGCTTCATACCTCTTTTTCTCCTTCAGTGATTCATTTGGCATCAATTTAAAACAAAAGAGTTTTTTCAACATTTCCCCCAGAACAAAACAAAATCCCCCTACATTTATTAGTAATATACCAGAGTGTATGCTGAAATAGTGTTTTTACTAAAATCCGTATTTATTCACATTAAAATTGAATTCATCCTATTCACCCAGAGGCTGACAACGTATGAATTTCTCAACTCTGCATAAACAGTACTATCAAGTCCAAAGAGCAGGATGTGAAGTATGGGTATCAGGAAAAACAAACTATCACTCCTTTTTTTTTTTTAGAATTATTTAATTTCATGTTATTATTATTATTTTAAAAATTTGACCAGAGAGAGAAAGGGACAGAGGGAGAAAGGGAGAGAGGGAGAGAGGGAGAGAGAGAGAGAGAGAGCGAGCGAGCTACCAGGTCTGAGACTCGAACCGTAAATGGCTATGTGGGAATCCAGTGCCTTTAACCACCACACCACCTGCCAGCCCCAATTATTACTCCTTTTTAACAGAGGTGATAAAAGAGAGATGGACCATAGACTTTCTTCAATTTCTTAGTAATATAATTTATTGTTCACTTTTAATTTAGTGTCCAAGATATTTTAAAAATGCATATCTGAAAATACCTGTTCAGCACTTTTATTCAAATTTATCTTCAGTAATCTTTTTTCATTAAAATTTTTTAAAGAATTATTTTATTTAACTTTTTATTTATCTATTTATATATTTTAATTTTATCAGAGAGGGACAGAATGAAAGAGATAGAGAGATAGAGAGAAAGAGAAAGAATGAGTGAGAAAGCAAGCCACCAGGTCCGGGACTCAAACCGTTGTCATCCACATGGGAGTCCGGCGCCCCTAACCACCATGCCACCTGCTGGCCCCTACCTTCAGTAATCTTTAAATACAATGATTACACTCAGTACCTATCACTGCTGAAGTAACTACAAGTGACTGCACTAAGAATGGCAAGAACTAGCCCTCTAGAGAACAGTAAAGGCAGAGTAACAGCAGTAACAAGAATGACAGTTCATCAGAGCTGGAGCACACAGCTCTGCAGACTGCACTGTAAAATCAAGGAAGCTACAAAGCGTGGCAGCCCTACAGCTCACATTTACCGAGTACCCTAACATACGCCGAGCACTGTTGAGAGCATTTTACATGGAACTGGACTGAGGCAGATACTACCCTTGTTCCCATTTTATTTGTTTCCCAGAAGGCATGTGCACTCATCAGAGACTTAACAAAGAAAGAGAACAAAGCACCCCTCAGTGGGGAATGGTCACTCTACAATTCCCTCTTCCCTTTCTCCATTCTGTCAGGATATGGGGCACACATGCACAAGTACCTGGGGTGTTTTTCAAGCCACTGGGGCCGGAATTCAAACTACGGTTGGACATGTGGGATCTAGCTCTCTTAGCCACTTAGCCCCCATTTTATTTTTTCCTTTAGTTTGCTATAGGGTACGTGTACTTACCAGAAAGAGACTGAGGGAGAGAGAGAGGGAAAGTGAGAAATCACTCCCCAGGGAAACGGCCATGCTGTAATCCTTTCTCCTACAGTCTCCTCTCAGAATTTTGGGCATGTGTGTCAGAGTGTTTTCCAAGCCACTGGCTCAAGGCCTCAAACCATGCAGTTGGCCTAGTGGGATCCAGTCCCTTAACCACCACACCACTTGGCTGGTCTCATCCCCATTTTATAGATGAGAAGAAAAGAAGATATAGAAAGTTAAAGACTTGTCCAAGATCTCAAAGCCTATAAGCGGGAGAAGCCAGGCACTTGACCCCAGAACACACACACTTGTTATTCCACACTGCTTTAGAGTTACAAGCCCAATCACTTCAATAAAATCTCTTTGGTACTGTTTACTAAATATATGGCAGCTGTCCCTTCATTCAAAATGATGATGTGATTTATAGGATCTCTCTTTAATTTGCAATCATATCTTACATAGTAATGTTCCCTCCCTTATCAAAAACAAAAAAGAAAAACTACCACCACGTACACAAGATTCCATATTTGCATACACTTTAATAACAAGTTCACTTTAGCTATAAATGAACAAAGAAAGGGAGACGAAGCGTACTTAACACATGATACTTGCACACGTTTGGGTATACATTAACCTTTAAAACATGTATCATTGGTGTTAACAGAGACTACGACTAGCAATTTTGATTACACACATTTTCTAAAACATTATCACAGAATGCAAAGGTAGATCAAATTTCAAGAAAATTTTGTCCTAAAATGTTACTGAAGTCTTTTAAGAAAGTCTAAAAACCTATTTTCCCACAATGACTCTCAAAACTTTGGGTTTTATATCAGAATATCAGTTTGCGACTTTAACTTTTTCCATACATGAAAAATTATCAAAAATATATTGATAGGTCTATACTAATTGTGATATTTATATTTACATGAAGCAAATTTTTTTGCCAAGTTCTTTATATACAAATTACCATTTGCCCTATGTGAAATTCATTAAAAAGTTAAAAACCACAGAAATGTCATTAGAAACAATGCACTTCGAAATGTAACTGCTTTCCATCAATGAAGAATATTTTAAAATAATTTAATTGAAAAATATCAAACTCCCCACCAATTTCAGCTGCAACAGTATTCCTCCTGAATGTTTTCTGTGATTTAAAGGAAAAAAAACAGGGTAAAGCTTGATTGCAAAGAATTAAATGATTAAAAATCTGGTATGTGCTTATTGATCTTATCAAGATATTTATAGTCTAATTAGGTAGCAATAAAAAGATGAATCAATAAAAAATTATAAATCGGTTAAGATAATTGAAATAGTTTTAGAAATTGGCAAATGTACTATATAAATACTTTTCATATTAAACTAAATCAGAAAGCATTATCTCAAATCCAATGAAATGGAATGCAGGCATAGCTTTTTGGTATTTCTAAAAAGGGCCAGCATTAAAAAATTTAAACGATTCCCAAACTGCTAAGAATTTAGATTTTAGAAGTATCACAACAGTTAAAAATAATTATAAACATTTAGGAGGCAAGATTTGGGGGAAGTTCATAAAGAGTATAATAATGCCACTAAAATAACATCGTTTAACTATTTTAAATTCAAGGTCACAGTAAGGAAATGAAAAAGTTTTCTTTTCTAAGGAAAAACCTGACCACAAATCATAAACATTTCAAATTTAAAGATCACCGATTCGGACGACCATAGACTGAGTGCAACTCCAGGCATGTGCTTGAGTGCCAAGATCAACAGGTTTGAGGACAAGAGGAAGGTGATCACTACAGGACCAGACCCTGTGCAGGGTGCGTGTGTCTTTCTCTCACTGTGATGTGCAGGAGCACATGCTTTTTTATTTAAAAAAAAAAAAAAAAAAGGCAAAACAAAA